ATTTTTTTATATAGGCGATACGTCAAGACGTTTCGTCTATATTACGTCGAAGTTCAGTGCCTCAACCGAATCTTTCCACAGGCGAAGTTATAGCGTTAAAGAACCTACGCAATAAACCAGAACTCGCGATTCTCCGCGCAGATAAGGGAAATGCCACGGTAGTCATGTATACGTCAAATTATAATTCTAAAATACAAGAACTTTTGTCGGATGTAAGCACTTATAAAAAGGTTAAAAACGACCCAACAAATAGCACACTTAAACAACTAGTGATCTCATAAAGAACCACTCCTAAAAATTAAATCTGGGTGTAAAATCGATAATACCTACGTGCACAAAATCACTAAAGTTGTATGGGTTACCAAAAATACACAAGCTCAATGCTCCACTACGTCCCATAGTGAGCCAAATCGATTCACAAACTTACAGATAGGCTCAACACTTAGCGAAAATACTCTCACCGCTCAGGGAATATACAAGAGCACTCATAACGAATTCCTACCATTTTGTCAGCGAGATTAAAGCCTGGCTTTTTACCGGGCTTTGGAGAAGACGATCGCTCCCTTTCTAACCTGTGGCAAAACGTTCTACAATGAAATATAATTACGAAATGTTTATATAGCATTTACTGTGGAACCAAAAGCTGGGATTTGCTCTGAAGTTGTTAAGGAATGCGCGGGCGCACGAGCGATACGTTTGCAAGTTTCACTTCACATTTCAATGTTTATGTTTATTTTTGTTGTTTCTGTTGAAAATTTATGATTTTTCAAAGATTTTTAGTGAAAATGGGACGATAATAGTGTTCCTTGTAATGAATTGAAGTGTATTAAAGTGCTAATCGGCGAGGAAAAGGTAAAATCTTTAAAAATGAAATTTTAATTGGACAACTTGTGTGAATTAAGTAATTATTATAATAAGTAACCTTAACCCTCAGAGTAATTCCCCTATTACACCACCCAGAATCAGGGCCCTGAATGAAGGGTGGGCGTGGCCCCTAGTCATTGACGTCAGTTATTACACTACCCTGATTTTACGCCCTTACTCAGTCATAGGGATGGTGACAAGTGAAAAAAGTATATGTATTTATTGAATCAATATTTTTAAAGTAATTATAACAAATCATACTCTAGTTGGGTAACTCGAGTTTAGTTCGAGTTGTGTGAATTTGAACTTGAGTTAACTCGAGTCGTAATTTTTCCAAGTACGCACATCTGTAAGATGCAACATCGCTCATTAAAAATATCAAAGCTTATGTACGATATATCGATTTTTTCGATGTTTTTATCATCATTTAAATATATACATACATACATAAGGAGTAAATAATCATTTTGAACAGAAATGAAACAAAGAAGTATAATAATCAAACATTATATTTATGTTTTTTTTAGGAAGTTTTACACTATTTACTTTTACACATTTAATTTTATCCAATAATTATCAGAAAACAAGAATTAGTTAAATATTTATTTACGTTTATTTCTTTCGAATTGAATTTTAAAATAACAATTTTGACTACCTGGTGCCTAGTAAGTGGTTTCCCTCCTGGGTGATTGTAGATCCAGCCTCTGAAAATAACTACTCACGGGATACCGAAGTTGCCACGATAGGGAAATAGATCTTATCTAGGCTATGAAGCCCCGAAAATAACCCTTTCATTATATCCCATATGTAATATATGAAACTCGTCTTCTGCTTTAATTTTATTTCTTATGTGGTACGTTAATTTTTTATGGTAGTTCCATATTTTACCTTCAGTATTATCGCATTTTCTGAATACATCTACGAAACTATACCGAAATACAAACAGGTGAATAACCTTTCATCCATAAAAATCAATATTTCAGAAAAATGATTGTAACGAAATACGAAGTACCGTAAGCCGATAAAATAATTTCCATTACAAAATAACTATTAAATTATAAGACTGTAATTAAGCTATTCATTAAGTTAAAGCTCAAACAATATAATTATTAATAAGAAAATGAATAAAACAATTTCAATCCATTTTCAATATTTGTAAACTTATCTTAATTAATTATCACAATAAAAATAACTACAAGTTTACATCGAAAATGGAATTACCGATAGAAGACAATTGTACTTCTGAAGTTCAAGTATATTTATTTTCGGCTGAAAGACCATTTTCGCCTGTTTGTGGATTCGTAATTAAAATTTTCGGGATTGGAGTTATTTCTGCTAAATACTCGTAAACCTTCTAGCTTTCAAAATTTAGACGTTATCTAGAACCATAACTATCTCATGAAGAACCATGTTTGTGAACAATATATCGATGTTTGAAAAAATTGATGTATCGTTCGCATCCCTAGGCGCGGATCGAATAAGTGCCCTAACTCCCTTATTGTTATTACACTGCACGGTGGAAGGGCACTGCAGACCGGGTCAACTTTGACGCCCTAATTAGGAGCCCTTACTCGATTTCTCTTATTACACCATCCTGAATCAGGGTGTAGGGAGCCTGATTCAGGGTAGTGTAATAGGGGTATAACTACTACTACTTGCATAGAGAGAGTCCTAAAATAGGAAAAAATTCTTATAGCTAAACTGTTTTTACGAATGACGTTTAATAAAGTACAAAATAAGATAGCTATATTATTCTCACCTTCTCTCTCTTTATCAAGGTGGTTGCCATTTTTCCATTCCATAGACACCGCTATTTAGACATGTGTCAATCATGCATAATTCGTTCGTTTGAGCTGGTATACTTAAAAGTATTGATGGTTTATTCATTTGTTTTTGAATGTACCATACAACCAATCACAAACAATTGACGGTACCTTTTTAACCCGCGATTTATTTGAATAGTGAATGACTCATTCATCAAACCCACCGAATCCCAAATGATCTGAATAAACAGGCCAATCGAATTAACAATGCTGACTGCGGACTGCAGAGTGTCAGGAGTATTTATTATTTGAGGGTTTTTATAATAATATTGTTACCTAAATTAAAAATTATTTTACATTTTATCATATTATTTGTTACATCTATGAGTTAAAAATATCATTTCGTAGAGTTTACTAAAAATAAACCTTCACTTCAAAAGATTTCATGATTCCGCAACACCAGGGGAATAGGAAATCTTTTATCGCCACCAAGGTCAAGTGCGTAATTGTTGCGTTCTTAAAAAAATCGAATTTTAAACTTTCCATCCAAAACTTCAAAAACACAAACATAAAGTTGCCAAAACCAAATATAATATGGTGATACAAATCCAAGTTTTGTGTCTATTATCCTAAAGATAATTTAAATTTAACAACTCTCACAACTACATAAACTGAAGTATTTGGCAATTTTAACCATTTAAAATTCGACCTTATTGCTTTAAGAACATAATTATATCTACTATGTCCATTTTGTGATGTGTGGATGTGAAAACTACCAAAACATCGCAACGAAATCCATATTCGCTTCATCTCTTTCTATACGTATTTATGACACCGTCGCAAGAACGAGAAACAACGAATATCAACGAAGGACATCGGTTAGTTCGTGGGCCGTGTTGGCATATCGTTATCGTTCTAGTTTCCGTTTTTCTTTCGCTTGTACAAGAATTTCTTCAAACTATTGGTCTGATCTATCTATCTGGAAATGATCAACTAATTTTTTTAGGTAGGTTTGGCATACTTTAATATTAATTGTAGCACTTTGCGTTTGTTTGCTGACAATATTTATGTTAAATAAAATGTCATGGCAGGTAATAATTCCACAAATAAATTGAAATTTTTGTACAGACGTTAAGAGGGAACTCGCTTTATGTCTTGCATCAATGTGAAAAAAATTATCTTCAGCTACTTCTAGAAAACTTTCGCAAACCTTAAATAAATAAAGTTTAAGGGGCTTTATTGAATCAATTCTGCTGGACCATCTTGTCTCACTTAGAGGCTTTAAGCTTAACCAGGGAAATTTTTTCTCAGAATATCCCACCTTTTTGTGTGTAAGTCTTGCACAAGATTAAAAAAGTTTATTGTAGCATCTGACACTTTAAAAGCGTCATTTACTGTTAAGTTCAAAGTATGAGCCGCACAAGGTACAAAAAGGGCTCTCGGATTCGCGTCAAGAATGCGTTTTTGAAGTCCAACATGCTGTCCCTTCATGTTTGTCCCATTATCAAAACCTTGTCCCCTAATATTTTTTATATCTAAATTTAAATTTTTCAAAATTTCTGTCACAAATGTATATATCCTTTTCCCTGTTGAGTCTAGTATTGGATTAAACGCAATAAAACTTTCCTTAACCTCAACCTTTTTTGAAGTTGTGTTAAAGACAACATACCTCATAACAAGACTAATTTTCTCAGTATGACTAGTTCAAGATATTATTGAAAAATATCTTGAATTGCGAACCATTTCTAAAATATTATTTCTTACTTTAGACGACAATAATTCAACTATTTCATTCTGTATTTGCACGGCTGAATAATGAGTCATTTTAACACATTTTGTTTTGGAGTTACATACTCGGCTAACATGCTGTCTCATCATTGAATCAAAAGAGGCAATCATCTCAACAGCTTTTAGAAAATTTCCATTAACATGTTCGAAAAGTAATTTCGAAGAACCTTGAAATGCCAGGCATTGTGTAGATAAATACTTAACAATCGCAATAATTCTTTCCAACACGTCGCGCCAATATATTTTTTCCGTTTCTAAAATCCGCAAGTGATGAGCATTAATAGTCGTAGATGTCTCCAACATTTTTTTTAATTTACCCAAGTGTTCATATAACTATTGTGTAAAATTGACGTTTCGTGTCTTTTTATTAGCAAAGACAAGTGTTGCCAATCAGATACTCCATTTTTATCACAAAAAGTGTTAGGAGTTTTACAAAACCACTTACAATAAAAACAAAATACAGTATCTTTAGAAATATAGTATATAAGCCAATTCCTTTCGACTTTTTCTCCATTTGCTAGACTTCTTACAAAGTGTTTGAACGAAAACTTTCTCGTATGTTTATTACTAGGAAAGCTAAAACTGATGTCTATCAAGGGCGGACTACCTTTAACCAATATTCTAGCTATCTCATTGCTGATTATTTCGGGCCACAAACCGGGGTCGGATGGAATTATATCGACGCTAGCCTTATTAAAGCCTTCATCAAAAGTGTCACATGCAGCAGGTATTTCGGTAGCTGATATTACCGAACTTCTTACACAAGCTGAATTAACTGAAGTGGATTGTTCAAGTGCTATAGACGAGGATGGTGTCATCACTTCATCGGGCTCTGCATCAGTAGAAGCTGTTTTGCTGCTACAACCGCCGCCACTTGTTACAGGACCTGATGTTACCGTAGACGCCTCTGTTGGAATTTCAGATGGTCCACTCACGGTTGCTGATATTATGGATTCTGAGATTCGGTCGCATCGATAGTCTCCGTGAAATCTTCATTGTTTTGCAAGAAGTGCTTTAAAGATCCAGCCAATTTTTCCCTTTTTTGTAATTTCAGTTTCTTTTGCTCGCGAAACATCGCACCTGAATTTCTCTTTCTTTTATCCTGAAAAAACAAATAAATAATTAGTACTTATGGGGATTAATAATCAACTTCTAAAGTAATCACAGTAATAAGCACCAAGTTTGCATATTGCATATTTAAGTAAAAAGCAATTTGTTCAAGCCCTATCAGCTTAAACCCTTTCAAAAACAAAGGCAGAAAAAGTATTAAACTTTTTCTGCCTTTATTTTTGAACTAATTTGATCTTATAGCCCTTAAAATCCCACAAAATGGTTTTTTTAAAGATCGATAGCATAAAAAGTAAGCGAGTTATGGATAAAAAATCAATTACTTTTTTAAACAGAGTCTTTGACTAGAGCCTTTATTATGCCAGATAGAAACAAAATGTTTCATGCAGAAGTTGTAGTTTTTTCCTATATTATCTATTGAAGTTATCAGATTAAAACAGGAAACAGACAGGAGTAGGAAACAGATAGGATTCCTATAAAGGGTTAATGTTGATAGTATAAAGTAGGGAACACTTACCATTTTATAAAAAATCAAATCGTTGAAATTGCAGTCAGCAGGTATGCAGCACTTAATTTTTTAGAAAAAAAAGTAGTAAACAAAATATTATACAACACAACACTTGACAAAATAAAAATAATTTTAAATGTAAAAATTAATAGGATTACTTCTTTTTATTCACTTGTTGCACGGTCCAGTAAAATATTTGATTCGAAACGTCGAGTATTTAATTATTTTTAATATACGCGATAAAATCCGTAAAACCAAGTATTATTTAAATAAAATAATTATTATAAAAAGAATTATGGTGAAAGTATGTGCAATAAAAAATTATAAAAAGTTCTTTAAAATTTACACTCCAGCTACAGTAGCGCCACCTTTATTAAGCGCTTTTTACGGACACTTTTGTTTTTTTTCCTTTGTTTGTTTCCCATTCATTTTTGTTTGTTTTCCTTATCTCTACACTCCATACCGCTCCATACTATGCAGTATGCATGCTATGTATACGATTGATGGTTATGTAGATACAATCACTATAGTCAACCAATGCCCTGTTTATCAAAATTCACAAGTCTACTTGTTCACAAGTTACATTTTACAAGAAAGTTTTTACAAGTTCGTGTAAAATACGTTTATCAAAAAAATCTACAATAATTAACACTTGTAGATTCTACTTGTAAGTTCTAAAATCAAAAATGTGTGCCGCATTATTTTCCCGCCATTTTTTTTGCTTTTTATTGAATATCCTTATTTAAATGCATGGCTGTATGGTATATTGTCTGTGCCTAACTTTGATGGGACATTCAAAAAAGTAGTAGCGACAAAGTATTCCCGCCGTATATTTATAATTTGAAGTAGTGTATTCGTGGCGAGATTTTGCGATTTCTTGAAAAATGTCTAAAAATGATAATAAAATACATAGAATAACGGTTAAGCGATAGGATGTCCAAACAAAAATAAAATAGAAGAGTGGAATATACATATTACATGTCAGTCGCTTGGTCTTGTACTTGTGACTATCTTGTAATCTTGCCATTTGTAATATCAATTTAGTTGATAGGGCGTGGTTTCTGTTTGTATTTCTTTCTAAATGGCTACCCAAAATGTTAATTGTTCCAATTTTTCAGCTTTAAGTCGAAACCTTTCATTAAAATTGTATGTCGTCTCCAGATAGTATATAGTAGTCAATTCTATTGTTCTATATTATGTTCTTGGTTCCATTATTCTAATATTTTCATCATCGCTTGAATCACTTGACCATATTTTAAAAAGGACAATCAAATTTAAAAAATATTATAGCACTACTTGTGACACTTCTAAGATGGAATGGAGAGTCGCCGGACACTCTTTGGATTTGCTATGATTTTCTACAAATTGTAACTTACAGTGGATTTTTGATGAACAAAATCACGAATACTAGTGTAAAAATATACTTGTGAAATAAATAATGACCCTTGTAACTTGTAATTTACACGTGTAGTTTTGATAAACACATATTTGTAATAAATAATTTTTATAAAAAAATTATTTTTTACAGGAAAATTGCTTGTAATACAAGGCTTGTAAGTTTTCATAAACAGGGCACAAATCTAAGAAATACCTTTTGATGTTTCGCATTAATCATTCCGCAATAACTTTGCACAAGCGCACTACTCACATGATTTAAAATAATATTTTAAATCGATTTGTACACACTTCACAAAAATAAAATAATAGAATTTTCCGTCACCTTTGTTCACAATTTTTAATCAGGCAGCCCAAGCAGTAAGTATCCACAGCCGTTTATAACATGCACAGTTGAATGCAGTATGCAGTGAAATTGTTTATGTATGCTAACGATCGCCCAGTGATTTATTTTCATAAACTTTGAGCAAACAATAAACTCGTTATCCCAAGCTCAAAAAAAACAGCTAAATATAATTGAATTTTGTAGATACATATTGTTTCAAAATTATGTGGGTATAGACAGTAAGGGAAAAAAACAATTAATTTGAATATCAATTTATGTAGCATAGTTATTAGGCGACAACCAGCGACATCCGACAACGACACCACAGAACAGAAGTATATATCTCTATGGAACAGAATAACAAAGCGACACTTGTGAGTTGTCACCTTGTCACTTGTCCACACTTGTCAGTGAGTTTGACTGTTGGACACACTGACTTACTAATAGTAAGTTACTATGGTTGGACACACCATAATTATATTTTATGGTGATCGATGCCTTTAGGAATAGGAACCCTAAATTATTCAAAACTTTAAACCTTTAATAGAAAATTAAATGATATTGATTTCGCGGCTTCGTATTGTTCTAAGTTCTTATTAACCGATTATTCGTTAACTTCGATATTATCCTTAATTTCGCAAAAAAAAAAAATATTGAGGATCAATAACTATCCAGATCTCTCAAGTTGGTTTTAACTGCACACAGTGTGCGATATTTCATTTGCATCAATTCAGTAGTTTAGGAGTTCATCGAGGACAAATAATGTGACACGTAATTTTTGTATAAAAATATAATGTAAGATTGTGATTGTTGTGTTGGGCACCCTCCTACTAAATGGAGTGATGTAACCATGATGATTTCAATGATGATCAAAACTGTGAAATATCAGTTTTATAATAAATAATTTATATTTATACACAATTTATAGTTTTATTGTACTTTTATTAGAATGTATGTTTATAGACAGAACTAAAATAACAATATAACACAACAAACCCACCAGTTTCATTAGCTCTATATAATGTAAATATTTTGTATACTCTTAGTTCAATACAATATCAGTAAAACTCGACAAGAACTAAACATTGTGGTATTGGCATAAAAATCTAACTCCCCTTTTTCCCATATGTGTTGTAAGAGGCAACTAACTAATATAAAATCCTTGAAAATCAGTGGTATCCAACAGATGGTGAGATAAACTCTCTTCAAAAGTACCAGACCAAAATTAAGCAGACTGATGATTGGGCAGCAGCATCTAATGGAGAAGATAACCATTTTTTGTTTTATATGCCAAAAAATTCTACAAAAAATTATGAGAATAACTGTGTTTTTAAATTTTTTCTATCTTCAAAACTGACCGAGATATAAAGGCGCAAAGTTAACATTTTCGATCTAAGCCGCGGGCCGAGCACGACATCGTTGATGACGTCACAAGTTCCATCTTCGTGCGAGCGACCCGACGCGCACTTAGAAAATCAAAACATTTACTCGAATGTGCCCGTCGCATGCGGATCTATCTATCTATTTTTAACAAGAAACATTATATTAGAACATGTTACCATCTATTAAATATTGTGCTGTGCCTCAATGTAAAAATACGGCCACAAAAACACCTGAAAAGTTGTTTTTTAATGTGCCTAGAAACCCTACCATCAGAAAAAAAAATGGACAAATGTTATGAGAAGAGCACATCCTTTAGGACCGAACACGGTTGCATTTTGTTGTGAGGATCATTTCGATGTAAGTATTCAAATAATAATAACCTTCACATGATAGGTCTTGGTTATTGCTAGTAAATGCTTTCTATTAGGCATGTAGGTACCTACTCGAGTCGCAGTGTTTAAGTAACTAACGATTCATTGAACCTTTCCACGCTTAATGATCATTATAATTTCATGAAGAAACAATACCTAATGCCTACATATTTAACTAAAACTACTTCAGTGTAAATAAACATCCAAACTTGGGTAAAGTACCTATGTAATGTAGATAAGACCTGTCGTGAGTTCGTAAGTTTAGATACCTACCTATGTTTGCAGTAAATTTTAAAATGTTTATAATGCATATAACGGTTAAAATATGGAATATGTTAACAATCGGTTTTATATTTTTACGACATTTCGAGCAAAAAACTACACACACACAGAGCTGTTCAACTTTCATACATGGAAATAATGGAATAAGTTTGATTATGAAGTGGAGCACTTAAATTTTTTCGTGTTGTCGTATTTTTATGTATTACATAGTTGGTACATATTTTGAATATTGATGGAATACAAATTACGAGGTTCCTTATTTTTTTATAGACTTTAAATAAGTTTGTATTTTGTTCTAGGTCGAAAACGATATGGCAAAACTACGTGAAGTACAAACTAGTTTGTGGTCGCCTCAAACTTAAAAAAAATGTTTATGTAATTCACAATTTTAAAAGCAAAATTATCACACGTTTATTCAAAGAAATCAACGGAACTTCAATATCAATGACAAGATTCTTTTTATTTTTTCTATAGACGTTACTAGTAGTAAGTAACGTATATCATACAGCCAAGTTCATAATGAACATAGTCACGGTCTTATTCCACAGAGAAAGATAAAGAAAGAAAAAAATAAACGAATTTAGCCGCGTAATGCGACCTTGTTTTAATGGCGTGTTTAAATAAATTTAATTTTAATTTTTTACTGGCTGAAATCAGCCACCTGACAGACAAGACCGAGAGGCTGAACCTATTCTTATCATTAGCAAATGAAACCCAGAGGTATTAATGTAATAAAATACCTAGGTTATAAAAATATTATCTTATTCTTATACCTACCTTTTCATTTTGACTCCGCGTATTTCAGCCGCGACAAAATCTTTGTTTCTTAGAAAATATTCCGCCACCATCATGTCACGGACTATTGGAAGGTTGTCAGATTGACCCTTTTGAAACCCTTCTTCCATCATTAAATACTTAAAAACACCAGAGCGAACGAGGGCAAACAACTCACCCGCGCAATATTACTACAAACGTATGATCGGCGCGCTGGAAGCTGGAACGGTATGGCGGCGCGGCCGCATGGAACGAATGACGTCACGCGCTACTCGCGGGCACGGGCGAGATTTTAGAAATGTGCGTAAACTTTCCACGCTTATAACTTCGGTAATAGTGCACCGATCGATGTGAAATAAAAACTATAATTGAATGCATGATTGTAAAAACCCACCTCAGACCAAATGCAAAAGTGCAGAAAATCAATGAAAACTGTCTGATGTAAAAAAAACTGAAGAACATGTTTTTATTTTTTTACTAGTTATGTTGAAAAATATTTAATATATGGTATGTTAAAAAGTGGGTGTATAATATATTCATAGATTTTTTTATTTGATTTTTTAAAGTTTTGGGATGAGGTGGATTTTTACAGTCATCATGTACAAAGTGTGTTTTTACAATCAAAGTCCAATTTGTACGAATGTTTCAGAATATTTATTTTCATAAAAAACTAACAGAATTAATCCAATTCTTCATCTTCGACATTTTCAGCTGTTGGCCACTGCAATATTTCGTCCCAGAATTTATTTTTTTCGTCTTCAGGCACAAACTGAACGCATTTTTTCAGGTCTTGCATCTTCTTTGCATTAATGCAGAGCTGCCTTGGTCCATATGCAGGTTCATTCGGTAGCGATACGGTAATCTGTGGTCTTATCTTCAACAAAAATGTATGCTTTGTCAGTCCATCAATGAATTCCTGCGTTTTTACCGGCACATCACAGCCGATCTTTTTGAATGTGAGGTGATGGAACTTTGAGATACTGAAGCTTACTTTCTCCGTTCTCGGAATTCGTCGATCCTTTGTTTCAAGGGATAGTGCAGTCTTTTTGAAATGTTGAACCCACCATTTTTTAAACTCGGTCACATGCTCTCCGCTGACTAAGTGAACTGTAAAAAAATCACTCTGCCTGCTCGAAGATACGATTAATTTCATATATTCCTGTACACTGTACAGCCTCTCTTTATGACGAAGGCTTCTTTTTATGATCCCAAATGCTCTATCACACGGCAGAAAAGAATGGCCACGCATCGGAAAAATCTGTTGAATTTTTTTTAAAACGCCCACTGTCAACTAGGGCGATATTCATTCGTACTGCTGTATTGTTTTTATTCTGCCCCGCGCAGTTATCAGAAAAGAGCATTAGTTCTATCACCTTTTTGTCGACGTACTCTTTAATGTATGTCATAATAAACGAACATACTTCGTTCGGTCCCTTCTTTGCTTGCCCTTCATGATATACGTACATTTTTTCCCGTTTTCAAATTGTGAATGCAGAAGATAGAAACGCTCAGTTGCCGCAAATAAAATATTTCTTGCACTGGAATTATTGGCAGTGACACATTTTGCATGTAATCGTAGCAAATTCCCAAAAACGTTTCATCTTTTTGGGATCTTTGCCTTGCTTCTTGAAGTTTATTATAGAACTTCTTTGCCCTCTTCTTGTGTACTAGCTTTTCGGCCAAAGCTACCTTTTTAGCTACGTTATTTAGGGTTTTCGAATTGATTTTCAGGTCCAGACTCTCGCAGAGGCAGCACGTATCTACTGCTGGTCGTCCAAAGCGAAGAGCGAAGTTCTCCCTGAATATTTTATTATAATATTCGTACTTAATCCTAGTTCCAGGGTATTTTTCCTTATAAAGTCGAAACATTTTTTTTACTGATAAGTCAGCAGGCAGATACTTTACTACGCCAGAAGAGTAGTGGCTCTCTTTTGCTGGAAAACAGGATATATGAGAGATCACTGCGGTAATTTCATCACCAGACAACGCATTGACCGTTTTCGATTTCCCTCTCTTATCTTCCGGTATTTTACCCAAAACCAACAAGTCACGGAGCCTCTTAACACGGTCTTTAGTAACACCAAACAAGCTAAGAAAAGCAGAATGGCATACTTCTTTCTTTTCATTACAAACTTGAACGGTGTATGTAAACATTTTCTGTCTCAATGGGATATCCTTCAGCACTCGGCGTCGTTTTACGTCCGTACAGGATATTAACCCCTGGAGATAGATATCTTGTTCATTTTTTGTCCCCAAGTTATATAATTTTGCAAGGTTTTCTAATTTTGCATTTTTGGATATGGTTTCCCAACATTTTTTAGCACACTTGCATGGAGGTCCCATTGTCTTAGCCCGTACAGTTTTATTTTTTGCCGTCACATAAGCCTGCCCATGAATACGTGCTTGTTTGATCTTATTCCGAGAATAATCAGCAGAGTTATCACGTAGTTTTTTTTGTACGCGTTTCACCCGAGGAAGACTCACCTGGGTTTAAATAAATTACATTATCCTCCGTTTCAGCACTCATTTTCACAATTAAGCAGTAAAATTTAATTTAATTTGTGTAATACAAGTAATTAGTGTCCGTTACAGTCACCTCAGTTGTTCAAACTAACGAAACTAAGGTTAAAAATGTCAATATTGACAGCTGTCAGTTTCAAGTGTTGCCACATGTTTGGTTGTAAAAAAACACCTCATCCAGGATAAGGTGGATTTTTACGCTCAGTGAAATTTTCGTGCCGCTATAACTGTGGGATACTTACGTGACTGAGGTGTAATTCTACACTCAAACAGTTTGTCTTGCCATAGAGAATATAAATCCACCATAAACAGTATTTCGGAAAAAGTGGTCGGAGGTGGGTTTTTACAATCATGCATTCAATTATGTGTTTGGTCTAGACTTTTTACCTACGTACTTAAAAGTCTAATATTGTAACCTTGTTATCTTCTCCATTGAGTGGCATCTGGCACTGCAGGTACCAATTTGCTTTCTGAGTGTGGCAATTAGGGAAAATCCTTCTTTTGAGGCCTATGCCCTGCAGTTAAATATTTACAGAGTGTTAAGGTACATGATGTAAGTAACAAAAATAAAAATTACAGAAGTACCACAAAAATTTCTGAGTCTAAGATCTTTCAATAATAAAAGCCTATGATGTGTAAATTTAAATGAGAGTTGTGAGAATGATTAAGGAATATTATACATTTATAAAATGTTTCGTTAAATATTTTATATCTTTCAATTTCAGAGAGAAAGACAAGAAGCTGATTTATTTCCAAAGCCAATTACTGAGTGCTTTAAAGAGTAGATTTTATCTTTGGAGAGGATATTCTTGATTTCGATAATGAATGCATTTTTAAACAACACCATGTTTGTTATGCTCACTTTGAAGAGAAATATTGCTGTCTAAATAATAGCAGAAGCAATATTACAGTATCAACAATAAATCAATACAATAAATAAACAATCAAAAAAAATGGATCAAGTAAACTATATGATTTCTCAGATCTAATTGAACTGTGTTATGCAGAGATGATCCAACCAACGAACTGGTCAAAATAGTGATGCAGAGGCTCTTTTTCAGTTTATTTCCAAATATGAAACAAGAAATTATACCTTTATATGATCATACAAAGGATCTTCAATATGATCTTAAATATCTTTAAATATTGAACTTCTACATAAAGAAAATTCTAGCAATAAGACCATAAGACTGATATCTAAACTCACAGATGCTCATGTTTTACCCACTAAGATACCAAAGATGAAGTTTAAATGTGCAATTCAAAATTTTAATTGGATTGTAACATTTAATATGGTATATCTTGCAGATAATAAATAGTTTATTATAATAATTTAATAATATTTTAATTTAATATTGTATTGTCATTCTTTCTTAATTTTGTAATGTACGAGGGGGGATTGAAAAGTACTCGGCCCAACACAGATCCATTCAATTCCAAAAATCAAATCTACCCACATTATTTAGTTCAGTTCAGACTAGTTCATTGTGTGAAGTTCGAAACGTGTGCGATAATTAGTTGTGATTTTATAAATTTATTAACAAAGTAATCGGACATAATTTCCGCGAATGGAGCAAATCGAGCAGCGTGCCGTCATTAAGTACCTCCATAAGAAGGGGCTATCATCAAAAGCCATCCATGATGACATGGTCACTACATTAGGCGATTGTGCTCTGTCATATTCATCCGTCAAAAAATGGATAGCAGAATTTAAGCGTGGTAGAGAGAGTGTGAAAGATGAACCCCGCTCTGGAAGGCCTTCGACGTCAACTACTGACGAAAATATTAAAAAAAGTACTTGATTTAATTATGGGAGACCGCAGATTAAAAATTAGAGAGATAGCCGAGATTATAGGCATCTCTTATGAACGAACTCAAAACATCATTGTCAACGAGTTGGGTTTCCACAAGGTGTCTGCGAGGTGGGTTCCGCGACTGCTTTCAGTTGAACAAAAAAGGACGCGATTGACTATTTCACGCGACTGTTTGGAGTTATTTGAAGCCGATGCAGATGATTTTTTGAATCGTTTTGTTACTATGGACGAAACATGGGTTCATTACTGTACACCGGAAACAAAACAACAATCAAAACAGTGGAAGAGACCTGGTTCACCACCCCTAAAAAAGGATAAGTCGATTTTGTCGGCAAATAAGGTGATGGCTTCAGTATTCTGGGACTCGAAAGGTGTGATTATGATTATTTTGAAAGGGGTCAGACTATAAACTCTGATTACTACTGCACCTTACTACGTCGTTTACGAGAGAAAATAAAAGAAAAACGTCGAGGAATGCTCAGAAGAAAAGTCCTGTTTCATCAAGATAACGCCCGTGTTCACACGTCAGTACAGTCAATGGCTGAAATTCACAACTGTGGCTTTGAACTGTTACCGCATCCGCCGTATTCACCTGATCTGGCACCATCAGACTTCTTTCTGTTCCCTAACCTAAAAAAGCACTTGGGAGGTCAAAGATTTTCGACAAACGACGAGGTCAAAGCAGCTGTAGACGCATATTTTGACTCTAAGGAAGAATCATTTTTTTTCAACGGTCTAAATGCTTGGAAGGGGAGGTGGCAAAAGTGTATTGAACTTGATGGTGATTATGTAGAAAAATAAAAATATAACTGATTTAGTATGTGTTTATTTTCTTGGTTAGGCCGAGTACTTTTCAATGCACCCTCGTAATAATCTGTCTGACATCATCCTTATTCGATATGGGTAAAAATATGTTGGTCCATAAATCTATACATATAATAAATCTGTAGAAAAGTAGTGTCTGTAATACTATACCTTTAAACAAGCAATTCTGGGATATATATATATATATATATATATATATATATATATATATATATGTGTATATATATATATATATATATATATATACACAGTAGGCGCTCGATAATCCGGCACCCGATTTTTTCCCTTTAATTCGGAACTGCCGGATTATCGAATTTGCATAGGAAGTAAAACAGATCCACAGTAAAAGACTATTTTAATATGGTTAGGTGAATTTATTATAAAAATAAACTACTTAACATAATTTATAAGTACTTAACATAAACTGTTTGACTTTTTTCCTTTTTTTTTTCAAGTTCCCTTCTTTTGTGAGAAAATTTGTGAGGTATTCACACCCACTGATACCATCTCAAAAGGAGATTGTCTTTGAGGCTTTCCATTTATCTTTTTTTTCTTTATTATAAGGTGCCATTGACAGAATAGAATACCTTGTCAAAAAAGAGAAGAATTTCAGCATTTTCCTCACATCTCCGAAGAATGGCTTTTTCTGAAAAACAAAAACCTAATTAATCCATTATAATAAACACTTGTATTATCAGACCACAGCAAGTTCTTGTTACTTTAGTTCTTGTTATTTTATTTTATTCTTCTTTATTGGCTTGTATTGTCTACTGCTGGACTTTTAGACTATCATGTTTGGCAGGCGGATTAATGATCGCAGTGCTAGACGTGAACCGTGAACCTTTGAAGCCACTGGTCCGTCGTCGATTTGGATATTTTAAATTACTTTACATAAACGAGATGATTATACCGCCGACTAAATGGAACTCGGAACATATTTTTGACATTTCATCTCTTATGACACCCACGGGACAAAATGAGGTGATAGATTGTACTGTACATAACTTAATGATTTCTTATATTTACGTGAACACTACACATTTATTATAGCTACTTTTACGGATTTAATCGCGTTTAATTTTTATAAAGT